GAAATGGTGAGTCGAAGCGGCTCTTGTTGATGCGGTGTAACAGTCCAATCCGAGAAGGCCTTCTTTACACGGGTATGATGTATCCAAGGAGCTATGCCGGAGACTTTAACAGCCATGGGAGTAGAAAGTAAGACGATGTGTGGTCCTTTCCAACAGGGCTGGAGCGGCGTCGGGCCCAATCACGTATCCAGACCTCATCACCCGGTAAAAACGAATGGAGGGGCTCAGCCAAGGAGCAAGGCGTCCTGGCAAATTGCCATCTGTTGAGAGAAGAAAACACACGCGAGAGAGACTGCAAATAGTTTTCAATATGCATATCATGAGTTGAATGTGGAGATATCATTTGCACATAAGGCAGGGGCCTAGCAAACATTAATTCAAAAGGACTCCGATGACTATGCTTAGCGGGAATACTTCGAACGCGAAGCAATGCGAGAGGCAACATGCTAACCCAATTTGAGTTCGTTTCTTGGGTTAGTTTTGACAGCTGGTTTTTCAAAGTCCTATTCATACGTTCAACTTTCCCAGAGCTTTGAGGCCTGTAGGCTGTGTGAAGTTTCCAGTTAATCTGCAAAATTTCAGCCAGTTCTTGCAGGACTTTATGCACAAATGCAGGGCCATTATCAGATCCCATAGACCGGGGCAGGCCGTAACGGGGAATTATTTCACGTAGCAGGCACCTGGTGACCTCTGAAGCCCCTTCTGATTTCGTGGGCCAAGCTTCCACCCATCCTGTGTAAGTGCAGACAACCACTAAGACATAATGGTATAAGCCACACCTGGGCAGTTCAGTGAAATCAATAACTAAGTCCCCCATGGGAGCTGTCCCTTGATGTTGAATTCCGGAAGGAGGTAAGGGTCCTGTTCTGGGATTGTTTTTCTGGCAGAGGACACAACGCCTCGAGGGCTGAGAAGCTAACTGGTACACCTTGGATATATAGTAACAGCTCCCAAGATCTTTGGCCAGAGCATCGGGCCCCACGTGACAGGAGTCATGGTACTGACACACAACTTGGGGGCCTAGGGACTCTGGCACCCATAGGCGGTTGTCAGGGGTAAGATACCATCCCTCATCAGTAGTTGCCAACTTCTCAGCTTCTGCCATTTGTCGCTCCTGTGTGGTGTATGGTGGTCTAAGGCTAGTATCCACAATCTTCTCTGGTATCAGGGATCCCAGGAAGAAAGCAGATGCCTGTTGTCTAGCTGCTTGTTTAGCTGTTTTATCGGCTAGGCCAGGGGTCTGCAACCTGCGGCTCCGGAGCCGCATGTGGCTCTTTTACACCTTTGCCGCGGCTCCGGGGCAGATACTAGCGAGGGGAGGAGGTGCATTGTGCGCCCTGACACTCCCCACTGTGGCGGCTCTGTACTGGCTGTGATGTCGCATGGGGGCGGTGTGTGCGTTAGTCACGCACCGTCCCGACGTTACTTTCCCGCCCGCTGTCAGATCGCGGCTCCGGAGATATATTTGTTTTAAACGGGTCCAAGTGGCTCTTTTTGTCTTAAAGGTTGTAGACCCCTGGGCTAGGCGATTGCCCCTGGCCGTATCACTAAGTCCAGTTCGATGTCCATAACAATGTATCACAGCCACTTGGCTGGGAGCCCATACTGCAGTTAAAAGATCCATAAGGGCTTGGGGTGCTGCACCTGGCTCCCCTTTGACGTGAGCATGCCACGTTCCTTCCAAAGTGCTCCGTGGGCATGCAGGGTAAGAAAAGCATATTTTGAGTCAGTATATATATTAATGTCTATGCCTTCAGCCAACTGTAGTGCACGGGTTAGAGCAACAATTTCAGCAAGCTGAGCGGATGAAGAAGGGGGAAGTGGGGAGGCTTCAATGATTTCGCCTTCCAGGGCTACTACAGCGTACCCCGCTTTTCGTTGGCCTCCCTCCAGAAAGCTGCTACTATCCACAAACCAGGAAGGCCAGGCAGGATTTGGCACGTCCTTCAAACCAGGTCTACTAGAATAAACTTCATCCATCACCTGTAAACAATCAGCTCAGCAATTGTCACCTCTGGGCACTTCCTGGAGTCCCTTTTCCAAGGGCAAAATAGCGTTGGAATAGAGGAAAATGGCAAAGGAGTTGATTTTATGATTTTTTTAAAGCTAGGTAACTTACCTAAGCTGTCAAGTTGAAAGAATACATTCAGGCATAATATTTGTAACATTTAACAACTTTAAAGATGTGCCCCCCCATAATTTCCATAAGAATATGTCCAGCCAATATGTCCATCCTATGTCAATAACAAATTGTTGCTGTTTTTTGGTTGAATATATGGTATATGGACCTAAGAGGTATCTAAAGCCATTTGCACATAACATTTGCCGCAACCCTGTAATAGGAATTTTATGCTCTTAAATATATGATAATGTTCATAAGTGTACCAACCAAGCACATATATAGATCAGCACAGGAAGTCCAACCTGGAACCTTTTTGATTCCTAAACTGAACAAATGTTTTCTCTGCAAGGTCAAACTGGAAAAGCCTCCCCATTGTCTTTTCCTTCACAAATCCTGTCTTAAGGGTATGTCTCATGTTTGAATAGGGTGTGAGCCTGTGACCTGGCCCAGGAACTAAGTATTTATCATTACAAAAGACTGGCCAGGCTACCCAGGAAATCCAATCAAGGAACCTGCCAGACAGGAGATAAACAAAAAAGGGAGAAAAACAATATTAAAAATTCTCTTTTGGACTGCTTTTTTGTGATGTAGGTGTGATGTATCTGAGGGGTGGTCTTAGGTTACACCCCTTCTGTGATATATGTATGATGTTTCTGGGGGTGGGCTTGATCTACAGGGATGGGAATTTCAAGTCTTTATAAGGCCTTGCAGACCATTTTTCTGGGTCCTTCCTCTCTCCTGCAAGTGAGGGGAGCACCCTGTTGCAACAGTTCAATAAAGGCCAAGCCTACAGGCTGCTGTTTTGCACCAAGTAATCCTAGTTGGTGTCTTTGTTTTTGTCCAAGGGAGCCCTCGGATTTTTCCGCTAACACCCCAGAGTCAAAATAAAAAAATTCCTTCCAGTAGCACCTTAAAGACCAACTAAGTTAGTTCTTGGTATGAGCTTTCGTGTGCATGCACACTTCTTCAGATACACTGAGTGTGCATGCACACGAAAGCTTATACCAAGAACTAACTTAGTTGGTCTTTAAGGTGCTACTGGAAGGAATTTTTTTATTTTGACTATGGCAGACCAACACGGCTACCTATCTGTAACTGGAACCCCAGAGTCAGCCACGACTGGACCAAATGGTCAGGGGTCCCTTTACCTTTGCAAAGCTTGCAACAGATTTTTTTTGTGTTTTCCTTTTGCCTTCAAATCGCCCCTGTGATGAGGGGGGTCTATCGACAACAATTCCTAGTAAAGAGTCCTCAGAGTCCTCGTCTCCTTTGACTTGCTCCGGGAGCCCCTCCCCCCCCTCCCCGCAGCCAACCTCCTTCGCTCTCGCTGAGGACTAGAAAGCTGCGCAGGCGACCAGGAAGGGCCGCCGCCTCCTGCCCGTCCCGCCCTCCCAGGAGCCGCGTCCAATGGGAAGGCGCAGCGCTTCTCCCGGTCCCGCCCCTGCGCTGCTGGTTTGCCTAATTGAAGGACGAACTCATGAAAGCAGCTCCCGCCTAAGTCGAAGAGCGCAGCCAATCAGAGTCCAGATCCGCATCCGGGTCCTGTTCTTCCGGCTGACGGGAGAGGCGGGCCGACAGTACAAGGGGCGGGACTCGACCACCTCCCCGGTTGGCTAAACTGCCTGAAGGAGGCGGGGCGTCCGAGCCGGGCGCCAATCCGAGCCAGCGGCCCTCGCAGCTTCCGATTGGGCGCGGAGGAGGCCCGAGGGCGGGGCGTCTCTCGCTCCGGCTCAGCCGCTTCCGTCGGGCGGAAGGAAGGAAGGAAGGCGGAAGGAAGGCGGCGGCGGCGGCGGCGGCGGGCGAGGTGAGGCGGCGGCGGCGGGGAGGCGGCGGGGGGAGGAGCCTCGGGAGCCTCTGGCCCCGCCCCTTGGCGCGCCGCGTCGTCCTCCCAGGGGGAGGGGCCGGAGCGAGGGCGCCCCTGAGCACGCGCAGAGTGCCGGCCGCTGAGCCCGAGAAGCCAATCAGTAAGGAGAATGGAGGACTGGAGGGAGGACTATAGCGGGGGGGGGGGAGAGACTGTCCTCCACCTGCGCAGATATGAACTCGCATAATTGGCTCCCAAGTCGCCTGCTGGCTGAATTTCACGGTAACAGTAAATAGTGGAAATACAAAAAAAGGGGGGGGGCAGCATATAGGCACATTAAGTCGCAGAGATTCCCCTTGCAATATGGGGCGAGAAGAGAGAAGCAAAGGCGCCTCCGTCTCTGATAGGCAGGGTGCTTTTATTATTAATATTATTACAGTGGAACCTCGGTTGTGGAACGCCTCCATTGTCGTGCGTACACTCCTGAATTAAAATAAATACATTAAGATCTCAGGGTGTTTCACATAATAATATACAAGATGAAAACAAGTCAATAAGTAAACAGCAAAAGAAGACCCCTCCCCTTATTCTATTCTGGGCTCAGTCTGGGTGGTTCTCCTCCTGCCCCGTCCTGCTTCAGTGGCTGGAGAGATCCTGGAGCTTCACCGGAGGCCAGGCAGCAGCAGCAGCAGCTGAGGAGCGTAGAAATGTAGGGTCAGAAGGGACCCTGAAGGTTATCTAGGGGGCTGGACAAGATTTTATTACTTATGTGCCTCCCATCTGACATGGTTTCCCCAGCCACTCTGGGCGGCTTGCAGTAAAATATTTTAAAAGATGACCCCCGAGGTCCCTACCAATTCCTCTCTCTGTGTAAATTATTGAATGTGCCTACATGCCATTTTTTGTTTACTGAAAGCTCAAAGCAGCTTACTTTAACAGAAATAAACAAATCACATTGTTGCAAATCACAGAACACAATTAGGAACACTGTTAAATATCAGCAACAGTGCTGTAAAACAGACAAATGAACCCACAAATCAGCACTAGAAAATGAACAGACTCAAGGAGGCTCCAAAATTTGTCCAGCCAGAAGCCTCCGAAAGAGAAATATGATTTCTGTCAAACAGGGAACTCCTGGCCAAACTTGTGGCTGCCCGTGGCCACCTACAGAAGGCAGTGTTCCCAAAGGGGGGCATCACAATGTTGTTTTATGGTTTTTTATCCCAACACCTTGTATCATCAGGAATCCCTGGTGGTCGGCTGCCCAGGCTTCTGAGACAAGGCAGCAGCAGAGGAGACAGAAAGGTTTGGAAAGGAACCCAGCCCCCTGCAATACAGTTCATAAAGCAAGCCTCTTGGGGTTGGGCTAGATGACCCTTGGGCTCCCTTCCCCCCCGGCAGGCGGCTTGCCTGGCCTGCAGAGCCCCCTGTGCCCTCTCTTCCCCACTTGGCCCCTCACCCTCTCTCTCCTCCTTGCAGCGGCGCCCGTTTCCCCCGGGGGCCATGGAGCCCGAGACGCGCAGCGTGCAGATTGAGTTCCCTCACTACGCCGCCGTCCTGCTGGAGTCGCTCAACAAGCACCGCCTGGAGGGCAAGTTCTGCGACATCGCCATCCACGTCCAGGGCCGCGTCTTCCAGGCGCACAAGAGCGTCCTGGCCGCCTCCTCGCCCTACTTCCACGACAAGCTGCTCCTGCACGACACCAACTGCATCGTGCTGCCCGGCGTCATCGAGCCGGACGCCTTCGAGAACCTCCTGCAGCTCATCTACTCGGGGCGCCTCAAACTGCTCCTGGAGGCCCTGCCCAGCCACCTCCTGGTGGCTAGTGGGCTCCAGATGTGGCAGGTGGTGGACCAGTGCTCAGGCATCCTCAAGGAGCTGGAGGGCGGCGCCTGCCGGCCTTGGTCCAGCCGCACCAGCGAGAGCCAGTCGCCCAGCAGCAGCAACTACTTTGGCTCCAGGGACGAGGCCGAAGCTGAGGCTCCTGGGCGGCGGCGCGCCTGCCCCGACGGCGAGGTCCTGAAGATCCGCGTGCCGCCTGACGAGGAGGAGGACGAGGAGGAGGAGGATGAGGAGCACCAGGCGCAGATCTGCAGCGGCTCCACCGACGGGCCGGCCAAGGCCGAGGAGAGCCGAGCCAAGGAGCCGCCCTTTGCCTCGGCGCACGAGGCCCCCAAGGTCTTCTACATCAAGCAGGAGCGCTTTGACGCTGAGGAGGCGGCCGCCTCGGCCTCGGGGCTGGGCGGGGCCGGCAGCAGCTCGTGTCTGTCGGAGGCTGGCTTCTTCAAGTCTCTGGGCAGGCCGCTGGCCGTGTCGGGGCTGTGCCCGGCCGAGATCCAGGAGAGCGGCGAGGTCAGCTACCTGCTCCCTGGCGCCCCGGCGGCATCCTCGTCCAGCGGCCCCGGCGGCGGCTTCTCGGCCAAGGCGGACTCAGTGGCCTTCCCCGAGAGCTCGTGGAAGCCCGTGGACCTCCATGGCAACGAGATCCTGGCGCACGCCGTGCACGGGCAGGTGGTTCACGCGCCCGTCAAGCTGATGTCTGCGCCCGACGGCAAGAAGTTTGGCTGCCTGTGCGGGAAGCGCTTTGCGGTCAAGCCCAAGCGGGACCGCCACATCATGCTGACCTTCAGCCTGCGCCCCTTTGGCTGCTCCGTCTGCAACAAGAAGTTCAAGCTCAAGCACCACCTGACCGAGCACATGAAGACGCACGACGGCAACCTGTACGCCTGCGAGGACTGCGGGCGCAAGTTCCGCGTCCAGAGCTGCTTCCTCAAGCACAAGGAGATCTGCAAGGGGCAGGGATGGGCCACTGCTTGCTGGACCTACAAGTAGAAGCAGGGGGGAGAGGCCCACCCAGAGATGGATGGAGGGATGGGAATCCCTGTGGACCCTCTTGGGGGCACAGAGGCGGGTTTGGGGGTCAGGGGGCCAGAGTACGTGTGGTGGGTAGGGCACCTCACCCTGTGCTGGGGGGCGATGGCATAGACACGCCCAAAGACCCCCCCTTCGCCAGCCCCGCCACTTTGGGGATCAGGCTGGCGTGAAAGGCAGGGAGCGAAGGGTTAAGCCCCAGGTGCTGGGGGGCGGGCTCCGTCAAGAGGGCTTTCCCCTTCCTGGACAGTCAACTGGCACATGGCTGCTCCCCCCCCCCGCCCCAGGCATGTAAGCTGTGGGGCCCTCCTGCTGCCGGCCCAGGGGTCTGGCACTTGGGGCTGCAGGGAGGGCAGCAGCCAGCCAGGGGGTCTCCATGGCCCTTTCCCCAGAAGAGCCGGCAGGCTGCAGGCGCCCCACATGCCCCACAGCAGGACAGGAAGGAGAGGGGCCGTCTCAGTGGGAACCGCAGGACTGTAGTGTGGCAGCAGGCGGTCAGTCCCCAGCATCTCCAGGCCCCAGGTCCAAAATCCAGCAGAGCTGCTGCCAGCCAGTGTCAGCAGCCCTGGGTTCACCAGACCCAATGGCCTTGACTTTGTCTAGGGTGGCTTCTTACACTCACACACACACACACACACACCGTTCATAAGCTGGGATAACTCAGTCAGTAGAGCAGGAGATTCCTGCTCTTGGAATCATGGTTCAAAAAAGGATTCTTGGGCTGGGCTGGGCTGCCTGACCCTGATGGTCCCTTCTGACTCTGTGATACTATGCTAACTTCCAAAGCTTCCCAGAACTGCAGAGGGGGAAACTGAGACTGGATGTAGAAATACTAACTATGTTTATTATTTTATTCTGTATACCCCGCCCATCTGGCTGGGCTGCCCCATCCACTCTGGGCGGCTTCCAAGAGAGATGAAAGCAGAACCAAACATCACATGTTGAAAACTTCCCTGCACAGGCAGCCCCAAAGCTGTTTTTGCTATTAAAGTTGTGGAGTGGAGATTGGTGGGGAGCAGAGATCCTGGAGACGGGGCAGGAAGAGGCAGCACAGGTCTTTCCCCCCTTTTCTTTTGAAAGTTTAGCTTAATTTATTACATAAAGAGAGAGAGAGAGAAGTGAAAAATACAAGGACACAAAAACCACGGGAGAGGACCCTCTCCCACGAAATGAGGTTCAAACCCAAGGAGAAGATTCCCAACAATATAACACAACAATCACGAAGGAGCCCCTTCCAGCAGGGGGCGTCTTTTTGAGGAATGCCAAAGCCTCAGAGGCACAGAGGACCTCTGCAGCCGGATCAGGCCAGTGGCTCCTCTGGGTCAGCATCCTGCTCGCATTGCAATGAAGCACGTGCCCCAAAGGGAAGGAGCCCCAGAGCAGCGCCAGACTGCCGCAACCCTCTCCCCAGCTAGAAGCTACCCTTCAGACCCAGAGCTCCTGGCCCCAGACGGAGAAATGAGCCATTGGGGGGGGGGTGGCCCCGATCCTCCGTTAATTTGCCTAATTGGTGGCCATCCCAGTCTCTTGTGGGAGCCAGTCCCATGGTTTACACACATCTGCCCTGTATCTTCCGGCATTCGGCCTTTTCAGATGTCGCCGGCAGGTTTTAGAGGGAAATACAGGCAGAAGAAACCAGTCGCCCCTTGACTGCTCCCTGGCCGCCTCTGTCCCCGGAGGGCTTCTCTTGCTGGGGCGGCTCACTTTCACCATCCAAAGGCGGACACAGTTGAGGAAGGCGCCTCCCCAGGAGAGGCTTTTTGCCTTGCAGGCGGTTGGCCTAGATGACCCTTGGAGTCCCTTCCAGCTCCGTGATTCTAAAAAGCAGGTCAAAAGCAACACCTTGAATGGTGCCAAGGAGCCCTGGCTTCTGGCCGCCATTGTTCCATGGAGGTGGCAGTGAAAGTGTGGGTCTTTGTGCTGGTTGCAAACCCCACCCCCGGGTCCCTGGGCGTTCATTGCAGGGGGTTGGCCTGGGTGGCCCTTGAGAGTCCTTCACAACTCTCCGATGCCATGAGAACCCACCTCCTTCCCAAGGAATCGCTTCCACTGTCAGAAAGTTCTTCTTGCTGTTTATTTGGGATCTCCTATGTCGCCCCTCTGCCACCTGGCTTTTTATGGCGGCCTAGGTATGGCTGGTGTGGGACAGAGCCTAGGGCTTGCCGATCAGGTCGGTGGTTCGAATCCCTGCAACGGGGTGAGTTCCCAGCTCCTACCAACCTAGCAGTTGCACATCAAAGTGCAAGTAGATAAATGGGTACCACTCCGGCGGGAAGGCAAACGGCGTTTCCATGCGCTGCTCTGGTTCGCCAGAAGCGGCTTAGTCCTGCTGACCACATGACCCGGAAGCTGCACGCCGGCTCCCTCGGCTAATAAAGCAAGACGAGCGCCGCAACCCCAGAGTCGGTCACAACTGGACCTAATGGTCAGGGGTCCCTTTACCTTTAGGTATGGCTGGACAGTACAGGAAAAGCCTGAAAAGACTTAATTCTTCCATGGTGGGGGGTTTATGGCGGGTGGAGAAATTCAGGGCCCTGCTGCTTCTTCCAACCTCCCGTCTGAGCAGGAGCAGCATAGATGTCAAAAAGGAGAAAGGTTTGTTTGGAAGTCTGCAGGAGGCGGAAGCTGCCCAGGGCATGAAGATTTATTTAAAATAAAATAAGATGAGGGTGCACTCAGTTCTGGTGCTAAAACTGGTTTTCTGTGTTTCAGCCAGATACCTTTCTGCATCGCGTGTTGCTTCTCTCACTGCCGGCTAGAACATCCAGTGCCATCAGCAGCAGAACCAAAGGAATGAGAAGCAAATGCTGGGGGCGGGGAGGACGACCCGGTATATTAATGAAAGGGGGGAGCAAAATGACAAAGAGTCAGTAGCTGTGGAATGGCCAGAGGTGCGGGGGGGGGGTCAGGTATCCCAGAGGCCCACAAGGAGCAAGCCCATCCTGGGGGGGGGGGTGTCTTCATGGCAGGTCTCGCTTGGAGCAAATAAACACACTTCTAGTCGCATTGTCTGACAATCATTTATTGGTTTATAAAAATATTTATATGCCGCTTTATCCTAAAGTGATTTACACCAATGTAAGAACACAAAACCCAAACATAAAATTGTAATGAGTAAAAAAGAGAGAGAAATTAAAAACCTCCAAAGACCATGTATTCTTAGCTGCCTGCGTAGGCCTGGTTGAACAGTCTTTGGGAGGCGTTTTAAAAGTCAGCCCAGAAGGCGTCTGCTGAATCTCCAGTGGCAGGGAGTTCCATATGACTAGGCCAGTGACAAGAACATTTGCGGAGTCTCGCAAACCTGATGAGGAGAGCTTTAAACTTGAGGGGGAAGGAGATGATATTGCAGAAGACAGAAGAACACCTGGTACTGGGGATGGTAGCCTCATTGATGCACAGGAAACTGAGGCGATGCTCCAGAAACCCAATAAAGGGCAAGAAACTACAGTGGTATCTCTGGATGCAAATGGGATCTGTTCCAGAGCCCCGTTCGCATCCTGAAGCAAACGCAACCCGCGTCTGCGTCTGCATGGGTCACGATTCGCTGCTTCTGCGCATGCGCGTGACATCATTTTGAGCGTCTGCGCATGCGTGAGCGGCAAAACCCGGAAGTAACGTGTTCCGTTATTTCTGGCTCGCCGCGGAGCGCAACCTGAAAGCGCTCAACCTGAAGCAACTTCAACCCGAGGTATGACTGTAGAAGAAGGAAGCAGCTGGAGGGAGCGACTCATGCTTTCAGTTCAGCAAGACAAATTGGAGCTTCCACTACAGGGCGGCAAAGATGACTTAGAGGGCATTACTGAAACCTGCTGGGATGAATATTAAAGGTTCGTTACACTTTCTCTGCTCGTAGATACTTGTGTGAAGGCACCTCAGTAACATGCTTTCAATTGTTTAGAAGAGTTTTTCCTCGGAAACAGTGAACAGTAACTGAAGTTATTCTTAGAGATGAATCACTCACAGACTCTGAAAGCAAACAGCTATAATGGCACACTTTGAGTTAAAAGTCTCTCTTTCTCTCCAGCAACGGCGTCCATCAGCAGTCCCAACAAAGCAGAATTTACAGGCAGCACTCGTTGGGTAGACATTTGCCGTCTGCAAAAAACGAAACTGATAGTTCCTCTTTCTTATTGGCACTACCAGCCAGAGCTATGCATGCTTTGAGTGCACTCCCATAT